GAAACGTCTCAAGTTTAGATGTTGAGACAAGGCGTCGAACAGCGGCCGCCACGCGTCATCTCCCGGCCCTTCTAGCACACGTCCTCCAGGTCCCCGAGGATGGCAGTCCCTCAGAGAGATGTCTTCCAACGCAACACAACTTGTGATGATCGTTGCAAGGCGGGAGACCTGGAGTCTTATCCCTCCGAGCGTGAGATTGCGAAGGTGGGCAAGGGAGCCCATCGGAAGTAATGGCAGCGTCATGCGAGGCTCGGGCGTCAGGTGGTCGATGCTCAACTCCCGTAGGTTAGGGAGAGGCTTCCGAAGGAACTGCACCAAGCAATTTTCCACAGCTGCGTCTCGTTCCACGAAGTGCTCGTCGTCATCATCTTCGACGATCTCAAGGTCTGGAAATTTGAAGGTCTTGAGACTGCTGAGATCCAATAGGTTCCACGAAGCAGACGGCCATGTGGGAAAATGCTGGGCAAGAGATCGATGGATCGATAGGGTCTTGATCTGCGCGTTGGAGGACGCAAGACACTGGATCGCCGTACGGAGCATTTGTCCCTCGGATGCCCCCGTCCGGTCGAATAGTGCGTACTTGGATTCCAGGCACGAGTCGCAGTGAAGTATTCCGGGGTGCTCACTTGGATCCAGTGGGTGGCTGTCAAAGACTGAGAGTAGTTCAAAACTGTTCGCATGCTGGAAAGATCGAAGCGCCGCAGTCCACAGGCATTGCAGTTCACCACAGGTTATAAGATATTCATCCACGTTGGCTTGTTTGCCATGAGCCCTGAAAGCAGCTGCGATTCCGGCTTCCGTCGTCGGGATGTCACCCCATTGTCTCGCCACATGTCTTTGGCATCGAAGGGGTAGGTTTGATTCATGTTGTGACAAGACCCAAAGCACTCTGGTAAATGCACCAAGATCCAGACTGGTGACAAATGGGGTGGGTAGGAAATTGACTTTTCGAACGAAGGGCGCAAGGGACATGATTGCGGTTGGTGTCAGGCGGTCGAATTCGAGTGTCGTTGCCTGAAGCGTGATCTCCTCGTATATGGCTGCCTTGATGATCTTGGCTTGTCCCAAACTCCGGCATGTCAATCTCAGCGCTTGGAGTGTACACAGGACCCGATGCCTATGTCGAAGTTAGCTTGGAAATCTGGCGAGAACGGTGAGGAGATTTACCTGTCTGCCTCGCGCTCTCTCTGCCAGGCTCTATCGCCGAGCCAACGAAATTCCGCCACCAACGCCTCCGCTACCATGTACTGTGTCTCTGGTTCCAAGTTCATCGTCATAGCCGACATTTTATTCCCTTCTGAGAGTACAGGGTATCTTCTCGAGGCGGCAGGTGTGTGATCTGGCAACACAGTCCGAGGGAGAAGGCCATGACAAAGGATCCGTGCGACAAAGGCACCGCTTGCGGAAGCCCATCTTGACCCTTAGAGCAGAGAGACTGTGTTCACGCCAATGTTGCTGTCGTTGGGATGGTCAGTGGCATGGTAATTGCCCAAAGCTCCAATAACTCACACGCTTGGCGGCATATATATATATATACATACATTATATACACCCCTAACTGACCATTTTCGTTAGGGAAAGGGAGTGCGGCCGCTTTAATCGGGCACGTGACGGAGCATCGCGGGTCCCTTTGGGCCTCGGCTACAATTGCCCAGCTGTATACCCCTATTCGTTTCAGCCCAGGGGTTGCTGCCTGGATACCTCGTACTTCGATCCTACCATGGTTAGACCAGATGCTACTGACTACTGGAACGGGGGGTCGATACAGAAGGAGGAGTGTATGGCAATGCACTGTAAGCAGCGTCGCTAGGCGGCCATGAGAAGGTGGTGCAGATGCTGCTGGATGCTGGGGCGGATATTGATTGTGGAGGGTGGTACGCACTGCAAGCGGCATCGGTTGGGGCTGGGAATGAGAAAGTGGTGCAGATGCTACTGGATGCCGGGGTGTCTGTCAACGGGAAGAAAATCTCCGCCTCGACTTGAATGCGATATCTTGTGGTGCTCTCGGCATGTGCAGATACTACCGCCTCGGTTCTCGCGGCAGAGATCCCTTGGGGTAGGTTTGGATACAAACTACAAGCTGGCTGGAATGTAACCTCTGGTGGCCAGATTATCTCGTCAAATATGGCCCAGCGAACAGCGAGTGAGCTGTCCCATAAATAGAGATGCACCCATTTTTTCTTTCACTTGATACGCATCCTATGAAGATAAACATATCATATATAACTGTTTCCTGACCAGAATCCTCCACAGCTTATGCTATAGTCATGATAGTATGGTAGTTTCCGAATATGGGAGTATGCTAACATAGTCGACCGCTATCTTAATTGGCACATATGGCGTGTCGATACTGGAAGTAGTCGTAGTCAGGCAGCTGATAGCGAAAGTCCGTGGTCAATCGGAGAAGAACATTTGAATTGGTTTCAGAAACCGACAGCAGACGAGGGGGAGGTCGACGACTGATGGTCTGCGCCACGTTCGCCAGCACTTTCCCATGCGTCACCTTATCGCTATCGCGATGAGGCGTGCCGAAAAAGATCAAACCGACCGTCGCATCCTTGATTATCTGGTATCGCGTGCCCCAGCTGCGCTTGCAACAGTGCCTGGATCACGTATCAGACGACACTGATTGTGTCAAGACTCTAGTACTGATATACCTGTTTCACCACAATCCCTCCTAGAGAGTAGGCAACAAATATTAGAGGACGGTGTACCTCCTAAGCCAACATCAATATCGTTTTCTGCTCCCTGGTCCGCGCCATATTTTCCGCCTCTCCCCTTCCTCTGTCTTGTCCACCAAGCTGGTCAACAAGCTTTTGACATGATCAATGATCTCCGCGGTCGACTGTCCAAACGCCGCGTCGGCATTGTAGCTCAAGGTCATGATACGAGCGTCCGGCATCTGCTGAGGGAGGAAGTCTCTCAGCCAGGACTTATGTAAACCCCGAACTGTCGTCGTTGTGCGACTTTTTCGCCGATTCATCACCCGCCGCGTTACTCTCCCGCCGATGAATATTTAGTCGACCCGGCCCCCCCCTCCTCTCTCTCTCTGCTCTTTTATACTCCGGCAAGGCTCAGCACCAGCAATCGCCAAGCAGACTGAGATCGTCGAGATTCTCAATCGGATTGAGCGACTCGCCGCTGGGCAATCATTCACGGTCTCCTTGCATGGCGCAGCCGAGAGAGCGGGTGCAAACTGAGCTATAGGTCGAGGTGGGCAGCCCGTCACCATTGCAAGGGCAGCGCCTGGTCTTGAATTCGAGCTGGCATCCTGTCATCATTACAGGGGACACCGTATCTACGCAATTGAGCCATAATTGGGTCATAGTGCCATTTCCACAGCTGAATCCAGCTCTGGCGCCTTCGAAGCTGATTCGGGGACCATAACCCTACGTACTCTCCTTCAACTCCTCCTTTGAACACTTTCTCCAGGTCGCGAATAGGAGGATGATTGATATCGAAGGGCTCATCTATAATAGGCTCGTCAGAGAAATGTGCATCCTCTGCCTCGTCCCTGTTGTCAGAGTCTCGACCTCCAAGAGACTGCCATGTCTCGACTTCAATTTGGACGCGCGTACCACCGCAGTCCAGTTCCACCCGGACTCGTAGGTCGGTGGCGCAGCGACCACAGCTCAATAGATCCAGGCTTCTCGTCCTATCGCCGCAACAGCCTAGAAGAAAGCGTGCTTTTTCTGTATCGTTGTCTTGCCATTTTGGATCAAATTGGTTGAAGAGAACTTCGTGGTGCCACTTTGAGATTAGACTCATACAGGCAACAGAGCTCGTTGGTAAAAGGGAGACAATACACAGTAGAACTTCGACTGGTAATCTCTTTAAGGTCGAGATTCTTTCGGCTTGAACCTGCACCGAGAGGGGACTCTGGCGCGCGATTATTGGCGACCTTCGCAGTCGTGATGAGATCCGATCTTTGAGTGAGAAAAGTGCATTCATGATGTTGTCCAAAGGGTTGTACGTGTAGAAGGATAGGTGGTATGTTGCTCTACACTCGCGGGCTGGCTCCTGAACATGCCATGGGAACAAGTAGAAAGTCAAAAGAACATGTACCTGGGAGTTTCCTCAACATCCTCGTCTTGGCAGCCTACGCGGCGACAACCTTTCGACTAGAGGCCGTGTGAGTAGGTGGTCAGAAGGGGCCACCATACATCAGCAAAATGGGCAGGAATGCCGAGAAGCATGGTTCAACGTGTACCGAGTAAAGTTGATTTATTTCAACACATCATGGACGACCCGGGTAAGACCGTCGGGCCTTGCGAACCTGTTAGGTGAATTCCACTTGTCAAAGTTCTCTTTCGAGTTCTCCTTGGGCCTGGACCTCGGTACTTTTTCAACGACGACTTATATATATCGATCTAGATTCTCATCCAAAGCGGCGAGGGCTGTCCGATAGTAGCCGTCTTTATTCTCAGCTTGGCGGGTCTCTTTGCTGATTTGTAGTCGCTATGGCTGAGAATGCTGTGGAGGAATTTTATTCATTCTCCAGCGCCTGTCAATAGCAAACAAGGCTTGTAGCTGACAGATCTAGGCAGCAAACATTTCACAGATCTGCTTGTCTGCTTTGACGAGTGACATCGTGACGCGTGATGCGTGATGGATGGATTGGATACACGATCCGTGGAGCAGGTCATCTCTGCAGAACATATCCGCCAGCTCTCGCCCGCGAGGCTGGAAGTGATAAGGGGGAGGTGAGATGGCAGGATGGGTGGTGGGGAGGCACGTGAGAGGCTGACTTATATACTAGTGCGGGCTTATTCGGAACAATGTTTATCCAGAACAGCGCGTAGGTGGAGTAAATTCACGGATCGCGGAAACCCGCGCACCACGCGTAGGAGACGCGAAGCGTGATTCCACGCGATTGTCTGTCGCTTGGACGATTAATGTCCCATTCACGTCCCATTCACCACCATCACTCCTTCACACTCTCAATCAGCTGTCTCTTCACCCCTCGTGGCATCATTGTTGCAGCTGTTCCAGCTTGCACAATGTCGCATCGTTCAGCACTTGCTCAGCTCCGAGCTCAGCGAGCTTCCGGCAAGACACGACTCGCTTCCTACCAGGTCGAGGATCAAGGTGCCATATACGATGAAGTCGATGAAGATGGCTACAAGAAAGTCGTGCGCAGTCGCCTCGACAAGGATGACTTCGTTGTTGACGACAATGGGGAGGGTTATGCAGACGACGGTCGAGAAGAATGGCAGAACGAGCGGCAATACTACAGTAGCGACGATGCCGAGGAGCTTCCATTGAAAGGAAAAGCTGCAAAGCGAAAACGTGAGGACGATCGTGAGAAAGAAGACCGCACCAACCACAAGATTCTCAACTACTTCAACAATGGCCCTGTCGCAGCGGCTCCCAAACCCAAGGTATGCCTCTTCTCTCAAATTTGTCTGGCCGAGTCTGACTGCTCCAGATCCAAACCACTGCCGAAGACGAAGCTTTCATGCTGATCTCCTCGGAGAAGTCGACGCCAATATCCTCTCTACCCGCACATATACGCCAAAAACAGTCAAATCCGACAATCGACGCAAAGTCAGGGTGCTCTCCCCCCCTCCTTCTCGCGAACAGCCTCGACAGAGATACCAAGGACCGCCGACCCAGCTGGTCAACACTCCACCTCCGCAGTCTGTACAAGAAGAGGACGACCATGTGCCGACATTTGATGACGACAATATCATGAGTGATCCTCTTCCTTCCTCTCCAGTCGTCAAGGCTGTTGAACGGAAGACGAAAGTGCAGATCAAAGAGGAGGACGAAGATGAGGATATCATGGACGTTGCTCAAGTTGTTGGGTATGAAGCCGCTCAATCAACCAGTATCAACATGACCGGCAGCAGGCCACCGCCAAAAATCAAGTCTCCACAACTTCCAACACCACAGAGCTCTTCTCCGCCGTTGCCGCCAGTCAGTGAAGTAGATGCTTCTTCATGGAACAAGATCACCAGCAAACTCAATATCCAAAGTAGTCCGTCTTCGGAAATAATTCGAACCTTCGGCAAGATGAAACCTCAAGACGCTGTTGAAGAGGATGGCAGTCTGCGTATGTTCTGGCTCGACTATACGGAAGTCAATGGCAGTCTTTGTCTCTTTGGGAAGGTCAAGGATAAGACCAGCGGACAGTATCGCAGCGCATTCGTCAAGGTTGACAACATTCTCCGCAAGCTCTTCTTCCTTCCGAGAAAGTATCGGGTTGTCAATGGCCAGGAAACTAGCGAAGAAGTTGAGATGGATGATGTATACGGTGAAGTCGACTCGTTGATGTCCAAGATGAAGGTGTCCACCAGAAAAGTCAAACCGTGCACACGAAAGTACGCATTTGAACTATCTGATGTCCCGAAGGAAGCAGAATACCTCAAGCTTCTCTACCCCTACGACAAGAGCCCTCTCCCGATGGACCTGAAAGGCGAGACGTTCTCCCGGGTCTTTGGCACAAACACGGCCTTGTTTGAACAGTTTGTGCTGTGGAAGAACATCATGGGGCCATGTTGGTTGAACATTGAAGATGCCGATTTTAGCGCTGTCAATAACGCTTCTTGGTGCAAATTGGAATGTGCTGTCACCAAACCGGCCAACATCACTGTCTTGAGCAACTCCGAGCAGCTCGAGGCTCCACGCCTTACATTGATGTCTTTGGCGTTCCGGACACAACTCAATGTCAAGGAGAACAAGCAGGAAATTTTAGTTGCGAGTGCTCGCGTCTACGAGAATGTCTCTCTTACCGACACCACTCCCCCGGAAGAAATGCCCTCTCGAACCTTTACAGTGATGCGACCATCCGGATCTGCTTACCCGGTTGGCTTCGAAGCTGAAACCAAAAAGCGAAACGACACATTTATGCTTGAGAAGACAGAACAATTTCTCCTCAGCAAGTTCCTGGCACTTTTCGAAAGGGTCGACCCCGATGTTTTGATCGGCCATCAGCTTCAAGAAGTCGACTATAGCATTCTTCTGAGTCGCCTGAAAGAGAAGAAAACACCAGGCTGGCACCGGATCGGTAGATTGAAACGAGGAGAGTGGCCCAAGTCGTTTGGGAGAGGTGCCACATTCTTTGCGGAGCGACAGCTTCTCGCGGGACGACTCATGTGCGATCTGGCAAACGACATGGGCAAGTCGTTGATGACCAAATGTCAACAATGGAGCTTGACAGAGATGTGCGACCTCTACCTTGGGCCCGACAACCGCCGCCGTGAGCTGGACAATGAAGCAGCCTTGAAGACGTGGGCAACCACTCGCGATGGGCTGCTCAATTACGTGACTCATTGCCACGCTGACACCTTTTTCATCGCGGCGCTGGCTTTGAAGTTGCAAATGCTGCCACTGACCAAAGTGCTCACAGAGCTTGCTGGGAACTCGTGGGCTCGAACCCTGAGCGGCACACGAGCTGAACGAAATGAGTACATTTTACTGCACGAGTTCTACCGCAATAAATACATCTGTCCCGATAAGGAATTTGGTAAAGGTCGGGCAAAACAGGCGCAGGAGAATGATGACGAAGATGATGGAGCCGACACCAAAAAGAAGGACAAGTACAAAGGTGGGCTGGTCTTCGAGCCAGAAAAGGGCCTGTACGACAAGTTCATCCTTGTCATGGACTTCAACAGTTTGTATCCCAGCATCATCCAAGAGTACAACATCTGCTTCACGACTGTTGATCGGTCAAGTACCGCCGAAAATGAGAACGAGGAGAAGGTGCCAGAGGTGCCGGTCGATCAACCACAAGGAATCTTACCAAAACTTATCGCCAACCTTGTCACACGCCGTCGGGAAGTCAAGAAGCTGATGAAGGACAAACGAGCCTCTGCAGAACAACAGGCACTCTGGGATACCAAGCAGATGGCACTGAAACTCACAGCCAACTCCATGTATGGGTGTCTCGGTTATACCCAATCCCGCTTCTATGCACGGCCGCTAGCCATGCTCACCACCTTCAAAGGTAGAGAGATTCTGAGAAGCACCAAGGACCTCGCAGAAAGCAACCAACTGCAAGTCATCTATGGTGATACCGATTCCGTCATGATCAACACCAATGCAGACAATATCGCCCAGGCCCTGAGCGTTGGGCTAGAGTTCAAGCGCTCGGTCAATGAAAGATACAAACTATTGGAGATTGACATCGACAATGTTTTCCGACGCTTGTTGCTGCATGCCAAAAAGAAGTATGCCGCTATTAACATGGCCGAGATAGATGGCAAGTATGTTGAGAAGCTCGAAGTCAAAGGTCTTGACATGAAGAGAAGAGAATACTGCGCCTTGTCCAAGGAGGCGTCTCAGAAGCTCTTGAACGAGATCCTCTCGGGGGAAGATTCGGAGGTTGTCCTCGAGAAAATCCATGAATATCTTCGGGAGTTGTCGAGCAAGATGAGGGAAAATGCCATTCCCGTACAGAAATATGTCATCTATACGGTAAGTCTTGCTGGATCCCTTTTTGTAGGACATTGCTGATTCTCCCAGAAACTGGGAAAAAACCCGACGGAATATCCCAACGCGGATTCGATGCCTCAGGTGCAAGTTGCCCTTCGTGAGATCAGTCGAGGCAAACCAGTTCGGGTCAACGATGTCATGTCCTACATTGTAACAATGGGAGACGAAGAGACAAAGGGCCTCCCAGCGCCGAAGCGATCTTACACCCCCCAAGATGTTCAGAAAACAGATTCTGGCTTGGTTCCCGATGTCGAATACTATCTCCACAAACAGATCTTCCCGCCTATTGAAAGACTGTGCGCGCCCATCCCTGGGACTGATTCGGTCAGACTGGCTGAATGCTTGGGTCTGGACGTTCGCAAATATCAGATCAACAGCTCGAACGGAGCAAGCCAACGAAGCACCGAGATTTTCCCTCTTGAATCGCAAATTCCCGACAGCGTCCGCTTCCAGGACGCTGCGCGGCTCAGCCTGAAGTGTCGAGAGTGCAAACAGACAACAATTTTCGAAGGAATTTGCGATTCAACAGACTCATGCACACCCGAGGGTATTTCATGTGGCAACGCCGATTGCAAGAAGCTCTTTCCACGATTGAGGATTGTCATGCAGCTGGAGTCACAAATTCGAGCGCAGACATCTGCCTACTATGAGGGCTGGTTGGTCTGCGACGATCCATCCTGCGGCAACCGAACCCGGCAGATGTCAGTGTATGGACATCGATGCCTGGGTCCGAATGGGCGTGCTGAAGGCTGTCTCGGACGGATGTCATATGAATATTCGGAAAAGAAGCTGTACAACCAAATGTTGTACTTTGCGGCGTTGTTTGATATCGAAAAGGCCAAGAACAAGGCCCGATCAGAAAAGGAATACGCGCAGAAGAAGGATCGGATCATGGTGCTTGCGGAGACGAACAAGGACGCATTCGAGGGGATCAAGGCGGTTGTGGATGGATATCTGAAGAAATGTGGGCGTCAGTGGGTGGAGATGGATACGCTGTTCAGCTTCGCCTTGAAGTGATGTTTGAATATTGGTTTGTAGGATGTTCATTCGTTGACCAGATGAGATACGACAATCCGCCATCAATTAATGCCACTGAGCGCACCATCCAAGTATCAATATGCCCTCTAGGAATGACTGTCACGGCTGAGTGATGCCAGCGGAGATGGCTTCTGCTGTGGTGGAGATACAGCCTTGGTTCTTGGTCTTTGATTGGCTCCAGAGCAACGACAATCTTTTAACGATACTCGACTCAACATCTTCTCGAGACCTGCCCATTAGACCCGGTCCATCTGTTAGATTGTGTTTGCCCTGTCAGACTTCTGGTTCGTTCCCTGGTCCTCTATCGCTTTGTCCGATGATATTGGACTTGGTTTCAAGATGACCATTCCCCGAGTTTTGGTCATTGCAGGCTCCGACAGCTCTGGTGGAGCGTGAGTTCTTCCCCACGTCCGTCCCTGCGCCGTGCTCTGACACAAGGACTCCTCTGCCAGTGGGCTTGAAGCAGATCAGAGGGTCCTTACGGCTCATGGCTGCTATGGGATGATAGCCACAACAGCCTTGACGGCTCAGAATACGCTGGGTGTGCAGGACATCCACATCACACCACCGGCCTTTGTGGGCAAGCAGATCGATGCTTGTTTGACCGACATTGCCTGTGACGCTGTCAAGATTGGTAAGGGCCTATACGAATACGCTACGCCGTCAAGACTATGCAGAACAGGTGGCTGAGACTTGATGAGGGAAAAAAAAAAGGCATGCTCGGCTCAGCGGAAACCATCAAGGTGGTCACCGAAGCGCTTCAACGCCACGAGGTTTCTACCATTATTGTCGATCCTGTATGATGCGCTCTGACGCCCTGTTTTTCGCACGGTCTCCGGATCTCATGATTCGCACAGGTCATGGTCTCTACCAGCGGTGCGCAACTGCTGCCGGGCGATGCCGTGAGGAACCTGCGCGAAAGGCTTCTGCCCATATCGACGCTTCTCACGCCCAACATCCCCGAAGCGACGCTGCTCTTGCGCGACGCCGACGTCCACTACAAGTCCCCCTCCGGTCTGGATGACCTGAAGACCCTCGCGAGGATGGTTCATCAACTGGGGCCAAAGGCCGTGTTGCTCAAGGGCGGCCACATGCCCCTGACCAAGAACTACGTCAAGGCCACGCGCGACGAAGACAAGGCGTACACGGTCGACATCCTGTACGACGGTAACGACTACACCGTCATCGAGTCGCAGTACCTGGCGTCCAAAAACACCCACGGGACGGGCTGCTCGCTGGCCAGCGCCATCGCGTCCAACCTCGCGCTCGACAAGTCCAAATCACGGACGGCGTCTCTCGCAAGAGCCACACGGCTCGCGGTGCAGTACGTGACGACGGGGATCAAGCTGGCTGACTCGTCGATAGGCAAGGGCTCGGGCCCGATCAACCACTTCCACAGCCTCCAGATCCTGCCCTTCTCGCCGGGCCACTTCATCGACACGTACCTGCTCACACACCCACTCGTGGCACGCAGCTGGGAGGCGTTCACACACCACCCGTTCGCGACGGCCATGGCGCGGGGCACGCTGCCGGAGCGGCTGTTCAAGAACTACCTGGTGCAGGACTACCTGTACCTGACGCACTTTGCGCGGTCGCACGCGCTGGCGGCGTACAAGTCGCAGGGCATGGCGGCCGTGGCGGCCAGCGCCAACATCATCCTCCACATCCAGCGCGAGATGGAGCTGCACCTGTCGTACTGCGCCGAGTTTGGCATCTCGCGCGCCCGCCTCGAGGACCCCTCCCGCACAAAGGAGTCGCCCGCCTGCGTCGCCTACAGCCGCTACTGTCTCGACGTCGGCGCCAGCCAGGACTGGCTCGCCCTGCAGATGTCCCTGGCGCCGTGTCTGCTCGGCTACGGCGTCACCGCCGCGCGCCTCTACCGCGAGCGCGAGAGCGTCCCCACCGACAAGGGCAACCGCTACTGGAGGTGGGTCGAGAACTACGTCGCCGACGACTACCAGGAGGCTGTGAGGGTTGGGAGGGGTGAGTTTTTTTGATATCCTTTTTTTTTCCCCTTGGCTTAATTTTCCCCCTTTCACTCTTCTTCCCGTCGTCCCCGAATAGCACACAATCACTATCACCACTACTATCAAACCACCTAGCCTCGCCTCGTCTCGCCTCACACCCCACCCCAACCATCACATCACATCGTATGATATCGGACACTAACCCCGCCCGGACCTTTGATCCTCGCGCGCGCACAGAACTCATCGAAACCCACATCGTCAAGCAATCGCCCTCGCGCATCGAGGAGCTGATTGCCATCTTCGTCCGGTCCACTGAGATGGAGGTCCGTTTTTGGGATTTTGACGCACACCCTGACGACGACGACGCCGCCGCCGCCGCCGCCGATGAAGCATGAAGAACCCCCCCCCCTCCGCAAAGAAGGAAGACGGCAGCGCAGATCTGAGCTGGACGCCTTTCATAGTAGTCGGGGACTTCTGTCGTTCCTGGTTGCGCTGGGGTAAAAAGAACAGCACGATGTGGATATGGGTATATGGTGGTGGTACAGTTCTACATAGAATACAGACAGACCGTTGTCCCTATCCCGACGCGTTTCGTCTCTTTTGTTCGCCTACAAGATGACAGAGAGGAGGAGGTCGTGATAAAAAGACCGGAGGGCAGATAAACCAAAGATTCATCCGGGAACCACACTCCCCCCAAAGCCAACTGGCCTTCTTCTCCCGCCATTCTCCGGCAGGATCGTCATGACCTTGTACGCCTTGCCCATGCCCTTGGGTCCGCCTTCGACCAGTCTCCTCCAACCCATTTCGGCCTCTCTCCTCCGTTTCTCCATCGCCTCTTCCGCCCCTGTTGTGCCTGCTTTCTTGTCCAGCTCCTTCAGGAGTCTCTCCGCCCTCTCTTTGATCCCTAACTGCATCAACCAAGTCCCCTGCTCGACCGGTCCGTGGACCTCTACGCCCGGACTGGCCTCCAGAGCCGCGTCTGCAAGAGCCCCAAAGTCCACGTCCGCACTGATATCCGCATCGCCGGCATAGACAAAAGGGGAGATGATCTTGTGTTTGCGGATCGCGCGCAGCGAGTTGACTGGGACTGTGTCCAGGGGCCCGTAGTCGATTATCAGTGCCGCCCCTGCGGGTTTTCGTTGCGGTATGTCGGCCACGCCCTGCTTGGGCTTTCCCCTAGCAAGTTTGGCCGGAGGCACCACGTTTCCGCCGCCGATCCGGCGCGCAAAGTCTTGGATGTATCGAGAACTCTCCGGTGATACCTCGACGCGCGACGATACTTGAGCTTTGAGGGGTCGATAGCGAGGTCGTTCGGGTATGACGAGCGATGAAGGAGTGCTCGCCTTTGCCAGGGTGAGCTGGAAGTCCGGCTCGGGATCTCTGTCACTTGACGATTTCTCGGATTCGGCGGAGAGTAACGTTGAGAGTTTCGGTGTAGTGGGCGCAACGAGTAGTTCCCGCCACTGTGGGAGTTTGCTGGCCATGGACGGCTTCGCAATCGGTGGTTGACCACTTTCGGTGAGAAGCTGGGCCCCGGTATCTTGCTCCTGTGCCTCTTCGGGTTGGGGAGCAACAGACTCAAATGCGTGGATGGGGAGCGCATCGAAGAACTCATGCGCGATAATGAAGGGCATCTCATCGCCTGCATCGTGAGCTTGGGCTGGCAGCAGCGCAATATCCTCGACCCATCTGACGGGGATCCCTTGAGTGCTTGTTGCTTCCCACCAGACATTCTTGCCAGTCTCATCCGCAACTTCCTTCATGTCGGCATCTTCTCCACAGAGCAAATCTTTCTGTTTCCTCCGCAGTCCCTCTCCCGCTTCAACCATCCACACCGCCGATATAGCCCTCGCAAAAGTCTTGAACTGTCCTATCGTCCGGAGAATGTCACTCATGAGTGTTCCTCGTCCAGGGCCCATCTCAATGAACTGAACCCCTTGGGTCGGGCGCCCTTGGGCCATCCATTCCGTCATGAACCATATCCCCACAAGCTCACCAAAGACTTGCGATATCTCGGGGGAGGTGATAAAGTCGCCGGCTGCGCCGAACTGGTCTGCGTCTTCGGCCGATGGGCGACTCGTCGTGTAGTAGCCTCCGTCAGGATTTGTCAAGCATTGGCGCATGTAGGATGCGATCGAGATGGGTCCCGTCACCTATTTTGTACAGCCTTGGGTTAGTTCAGATCGAGACGCAACGGTATGGGGTCGTGGGAAACCCTCACCTCAATGGCCTGCGCGATTGTCTTCGCCAGGGGTGTCGACCACTTCCGGGCAGGGACGGACGACGGGCTCTGGTCGGCCTTTGCAGAGGCATGGCTGAAGGGTCGGGTACTTGAAACAGCTTCACGGCAGGTATTCCCAAGTAACAGACATGATGGACGCAGGCTAGAAGTGTGTCTGGGCAGGACACACAAGCACGGACGGGACTTCAATCGGTCAAATCGGAGTTGACGAAAGCCCCCATGTCGCATGGCGAGCAGACAGAGAAGCTCGGATGGAGATGTCAAACAGAGCAAGTGGTGAAGGAGGAATGTGGTACTTTTTTTGATTTGTGGCTACATGTTTCTTTTTTCTTCTGTTTTCCACATGTGCAGCTTGTCATTAATTATTATTACGAGGTACCGAGTATAGCCTGGGATCTCTCGGTAATCTTTCTCCCAGCGAACCCCTGCACCTCATGCATGCTTGGTACCCCACCTGTCCGCTTGACCCTTGGATGCAAATGCCCATCAGCAACTACATGCCTAGGTAGATATTATGCAAGGCGTGGTCACCTACGGAGTACCTACTCTTAGTTGGGCACTAAACTCTGTGGCTGCGGCTCCTTGCGCACCTCAGTACCAAGTACCTCGTACTCGTCGATATATTAACTCCGTGATACTAGGTGGTACTTGTAGGTACCGAGTACACGCAACAAGATTCAAAGTCAAGTCTATCGATACTTGTCTTCCCTCAGCCGATAGATAACCTTGGCTGCCATTGGACGTGACAGGCAGGTAGGGTCTCATCCCCT